GTCACAAATGTAATATGCTCCAGATCAACACCCGGCCAGCTAATGACGCGCAACAGCGACTGCATCATGCCGCTCTTGACAAGTGCCGAGCCGCCCAGCTCATAGCTGGCCAGATGGTAAAGCAATGAGAATAGCGAGGTGGCTAAGATCAATGGATAGCGATCTGTCAAGCCGTGTGTGGTCAAATTATCAATGCAATCGCGCACTAGCAAAGGCAGTGTGCCGCCTTGTCTCTCAGCGCCCGTATAATGCACGATTTTCATCAAACGGGAGCCAGCTCTGAAATAAAGAAAGATCATAGCCAAATGAGCAGATGTTAAATGATGCTCAGGATAAAGAAATACACTGCAGATTCTTCTCGATGTCTTACCTGGGCACACTGGGATTACGATCAAAGTGGAGCATTGATGTAAGCGTACGCAGCACAGCGGCACGTATTTCCACCAAGTGCACATCTTCCTTATCAATCAACTCGCATAGCTCCTCTCCGAAGCCAGGATAGAGCACTTTGTCTGTGTTATCCTGCAGTGCGTTCGAGTATATCAATATGGATACAGCCTGCAGGCGCGCCTGCACAAATTGCAAACGCAACTTGTAATTGTTAAAGCCAGAAATGAGACGCACTCGATGAGCAATGCGCATCTGTAAAAGGGAAAGTAAATCACTTACAAAATGTTGCATACAAATAATGAGCAATTCCAATTGTAATTGCAATCAGAACAGACCTTAATGGCCTCACTGGGCTTTGAGATCTGTCCGGCTATTATTTTGATAACTTCTGGGGCTGCCGCTGTCTGGCAGAGATCCATCATGTCTGGTATTTCAAGCTGTGCAGCGTGGCCATTCTCATCGACGTAGTCAATGCACAACTGATAAAGGAACTCTAGCTTTGGCTCGCCAATGCAGCAGTCCTTTAGGGATAGTCCGTAGTTTGGATCGCCCCAACGCTGCAAGGTGCGAGAAACATATAAAATCAGTATATCTGGCAAAGTTGGCTCCATCAAATTGCTAAATAATGCTTACCTCAGCGATATTGAACAGTTTGACGATAAGCAATTCCTTCTTCTCAAACGGCAAGCGTGGAATGAAATTGCTGCGCTTGGAGAACATGTAAAGTAAATTAAGCACGGCCAGCACAATGTCCATGTTCTGTGATGACAGTAGCTGCGTCAGGTGCTCAATTGAATTGTACAAATGACGCGAGAATGAGTGCTCGATGAGCAATGTTGTGAAATTGAGTACGTGCAGCAGCAAAGTAACATCCTGTGAAAGAAGGACAATGGGAGATATCAAATTTATATGTACATGTAAATGCATATTAGATCATTTTATATACACCTAGACATTTACGTTTTCATTTATCTTTTACTATCTTAAGGACTTACCGATTCATCGAATGTTGTATCACACTGCAGCACAAACTCATTGCCATTGACATGGCGAGCCGCCTCATCGAGTATTTTGTCGAAGCGATCCAATATTTCAATCCAATGATATAATTCACATTTCCCGTATATCCAAACATGCACTGTATCCAAAAATTCTAGCAATTCGGGACGAGTGCGTCGTTTGGTCAGTTCATCAATCAATTCGCGACATTCTGAAGTCAGCTCCGAAGAGCCCTTCTTCAGTTTAACGGTATCAACCTTCATGGCTGACGCCTGCTGCTGCGTTAGCTGCCGACGCCGCCTTGTGAAAGTTATGGGTTCAATCAAGTTGTTGCGTTCCTTCCTTTATTTGTTCTTCCTCTCAATATTATTAATTCGTAGTTATAATTTTTTCAAAATTCAGTATTTCGTTTATCCTTCAATTGCATCGAGTTTTTCAAATTTTATACGTCAAAGTCTTTAATAAACTGCAAAAAGTCAAGAATTAATTTTTTTGCACAATTGATAATTGAAAGTTTTCACAAAACTACAATAATTTTGCAATATTAATATTGATAGGGAAAAAATATATATGTATGTATATCAAACGGAGAACAGAATAATTCCGCGAAATTCCGAGTAATTCACTGAACGCACGCACTCTAAACACTGAAACAATACGCGACTTCTACCGACAATAAATAAAACGGGAATGAACAAATAAATAAGACCAGCCTGTGAGTTTCGAGCAAATGAAATGAATGCCAAACTAACTGCGCTTTCGTCGTTTTCAGTTTTCAGTTGTCAGCTGTGGCCGCCGATGCGAAAACGACGACGACGTCGCTGTCGCCACCGATGATTCGTCTTCAATTCACTTGCTGCTTACTTGCAACAATAACACAGACATCACTTGCAATTGAAAACGAATTTCAGCAAGCAAAAAAAAAAGGGAAAAAAAAAATTTAACATGTGTTTACGAGTGCAAAACGATTAGTGTACTACCTTCACTTGGAGATGACAAATGTATTAACTCGACAATTTAGGATTTCTAATATATGAATTGCTTTTACAACCTGCCGATGCACAATGAAAATGTTATCGATAAACGTCAGCTGTTTTATATACAAACTAACGTCAATCAAAAGCAGCACAAATGTGTCCCCACTTGCTACATATACATATATATATACATCCACACACATGCACACACACACACACATGCGTGGGTGTGAGTAAGTGTATGTCTTTGACAATTTAAAGTTAGGAAGCTCTATGCACTTATGTGAATCAATAAATAGCGGCTCTCCATTAGGTTGCCAAACACGGTCTTTTCGCTTAGCTTGCACTAATTTCACAAATTGAAGGGCCTTGGTACACACATCATTTAGAAGCAGATAGCAGACGCTAAATAATAAGGAGAACGAATGCGGCAGGCAATACAACGTTAACCGCAACTTGTTTATGATTTCTATTAATTTACGTTGCTGATATCACTGCAGCAAGTCTTAGGTGTCGACGTTGTCTGCTGTTATTGTAGACGTCGCCGCGGTCGCTGCCGCAGCAGCTGCAACCACAACGGAAAGCGAATTCGCCGAAAAAGAGCAGCAACAAATGTATGCGTATTTGAATGTGTGTTTGTGTTTGAATATATGTACACATACATAAATATATGTATATATATGTACGTTTGAATATATATATATATATGTGTGTGTGTGCGTGCAAGATTGCTTGTGAAGATGATTGTACGAAAGCCAATGGCACATAGAGAGCTATGGGCAACAATATTTGGTTGTTGCATTTTAAGCTATGGCAACAAATGCTTTTTTGTACGAACATATCAACACATAAATCTGTAGTCTGCTGCACGTACATACACATACGTATATATTTGTATGTATATATACATAA